AGGATGACAACATTGTATATACAAAAAACACGAATAACATAAAAGGGATACCATTTAATGACAGAACCTCAAAAAAATTCTTATTTCTTTTTTTCTATTTTAGAAAGTCTCCAGACGAGTTTCTTTAAAGTCRATGTGAAATTTGCGGTAACATAAGAGTGGACATATACTGTTTGCATTTATAGGACATTATTATATTAAGGAGTGTTGCGTTTGTTATGAAGCACCAGTGATGAGTCTTAGGGTAGGTAATCGATTGAAAGAGATGGATAGGGTGAATGTTTACTGATTTTTCTGTGCCCCAAATTTGGATGCTGTAATATTATACTGGCCTGATGATAGTTTTGTACTGCAGTAATTTGTTTTTAAGAATCAAATTAGATTTAACTATTTAAGTAGAGATCTAAGTAGATAAAGGCAAGAGTTCAGTTGTTAGTGTTTTTGCTTGATGTGGTTTGACCAGGTTAATCTTTTATCCAGAGTTATACTTAAGTATTTGGTTGACTGGTGAAGTGAAATTGGTTATTGAATTTTAGAGGGGAACATTCCATTTTGTTTCAGGAAAAGTTTACTTAAACGGATTTTTCATTATTGAATTTGATTTTCCAGTTTTTAGCCCAAGGTTCTATAGTATTTAGATGTAATTGTAGATTTTGAGACACAACATCCAAATATTTAGAGTTGTCAGCAAATGAGGCGAGAATAGTTTGGTTGCTATAGGTATATCAGAGGTAAATATATTATAAAGTGTAGGAGAAAGGTATAGGACTACCCAAGGGGACTTCAGCTTTAATATTCTATACAGTTGAATAATTATTTATTGACCGACTGAAAGTGACAGATTTTCTAGAAATTATTTTAATATTAAATAATATGGCAAAGGGAGGAAGTGTTTTAGCTTATGAGAACGCTACAACCGCATGTGCTGTCTCCATCTTACAAGTGCGTAACATTGCAAAAACTGTTTGGCGCGGGAAAGAACTGAGAAAGATAAAGTTATAACTAAGAAACGAAATTGTCACCACATAAAAAGAAGAATTTTGTCTGTGCAATATCGTTTTTATTTTTTCGATATCATWTTATAYATATATATATCAATATAATACATTAATTTTGTGTTTTTTAAGCATGAATAACTTTTTTTGTATTTCTGTTAATATACGTAGTTGAAGGTCTGAGATATATCTAAAAAYATYTCAAGGAATTGTTACTTAGTCTCAAAATAGGYTGAGATTTTATTTATGATTCTAATTCGTAAAATAAAAATTGCAAGCTAATCATTAATTAAATCTATATATTTAAATCATTTGACAATCAAATGCATCAGATATAATTTATTTGAAACAAATAAAAAAATGCCACTAGCACATCAAGTTATTTCAAAAATATTAGTAAAATCTAAAAAGCTATTATTGCCTATTTTCAATTTATTATAGACAGGTTTGTAAAATTTTTGCTGTGATTATTGTTTTAGATTTAATTATGTATAAAATGTATTCATTCATATTAAATGGTTATTCTATGAACATGATGTACCAATTGTTTAAATTTTTGGATTATTTAGTGATTAACAATTTAAAATTAAGTAACCAGAACTGTTATTGCTTAACATGTTGCAAATATACGTTGTATACACTATATTTAATCAACAACAATTTTAATGGGAGTTTGTACAAAATGTATTCCAATATTATAGTATTAAATATATCACATTATTATTTCAATTATTACAAATATATTAAGTTTAACTCTCCATATAATACTATATGGATAAAAATAAACAAAAGCAGTAATTATTAGAATATATCAAATAAATTAATGTAAAATCACAGAATCAAATTATTTATTTAATTTATTCTGTGGTATAACATATACCTTTAAAATCAGTTCCATCTCCATCCATAAGTATTATCCAAGGTAAAACAGTATCATCTTCATTAATTTTATAAATGATACCTGTCCGATCATCAAATGAATATATTTTGCCGTTAAATGTAACCAGTTCCGAAAGTTCCATTCCTCGGCCTCCCATGGATATAGATGATTTCAATATTTTAGGCTGTTCAAGGTCCCATACCAGTTCTATAGAGTTATTAGTTGTATACCAAGTAAGGAATCCTTTTTTATAATAGCTGTACCACATATTTTTTTCAGTTTGACTTTTAGATGCTTTATCTAAATCACTAATAATAGCTATACGAAATTTCATACCCACATTGTCAATAGAAACTGGTAGAGACAATGGATACTTTGATTTAGTTAATCTGTGTACAAATTTATCATGTGGACGATTAAGGCTATAACTGACAAGTTTGGGTGCTGTATATGACATATTATACAGTACTATTAAGAATAAAATACCAATTAATGAGACAAAAATAACAAAATGTGTTTGAAAACGTATAGTAGAATTTGAAATGCGGTATGCATGAGAAGAACTTAAGCTTTGACGAAGCTCTTTTAACATGGTTGAGCTTTGATMTGATTTTTTTAAATCATATACATTAAGATCTATCTGAAAAAAAAATAACAAGATTTTAAATGTCATGTGGTATAATATGATGGCTGGTGACAATAATATAAATACTTACATAGCTATGATCTGTACTCATAATGAGCTATAACCATTTAATGTAAACATTCGACATTGGTTAGAAATAATTTCAGATGTCATGACATAAAGGGATTCAGTTTAACTGAAAACTAAATTCAACGCCATAAATATACAAATTACAAAGATTGACCACAATAAAAAAAAAAAGTTATTAAGCTATAGATAATATGTACCAGCAAACTGAGCAATCTAGTTTAACCTATGCAATAAAAAAAGTAGAAAATAATTATTAATTTCATTTACACTATCTATTGCCTTATTCATCTTGTATTATTATTTACAAAATTGAAAATRCCAAAATGTAAATCGTGGCTACTGGCTATTGCCTATTTAGTATTTGCCTATTAGTCTATTACCTATCTTTAGACCACGGAATACATAGATAAGAATTTAAAACACATGATAACGATAAATATATTTTATATTTTATCATATGAATGCAACATACGATACTATTGATACCATAATTATACCGTAGTATTGTTCAATCTGTGTTTCAAGTCTGTGCATGAATATAATATATATGTAAAATCTAAAGTCAGTGTAGCCAAAYGAGATGTCAATGATCCACTCGACTAACATTTTATCTTTGAATTTTTGTTATCAGTAATGTCATCCTCAATACTTTCTTGTCGTGTTGAGATTGAGACGTTGAGTACTTGAGTATTTGAGTGTGCAATCGTTCTGTGTTCACTTMAATTCAGTTTTTAGTACTTCACTCCTTCAGAATTCGGTGTTCAATTTTAAATTTCAATAGTTAAACTAAGACTTGAAGGGAACTGGTAAAAATTT